ATCACCACTTTAGAATCGCAAAAAATTAGCGCTAAAAGCACCCCAGTACTTTTCAGGTGCGCTCTGTACATAATGTCAATATGTTACTGACGTCATATTGTCCCGTTCCCGTAGAGCAGATAACCAGCACCCCTTGCTATTTAGGCTGGGAACTAAGTTTTGCATCTTTTTCACTAATTTTCCTCTCTTTCAATATGATGCACTCAAATTTTGCCATTGTATACGTTATGACATAAGCTATAAGTGCAGCTAACTCCTGCCAAATTCTGACGTGACAATGAGAGTTACGGTATGTATGTTTTTCAAAAAAATTGACATAGATTTGGATGAAACTTGGAGAAGGGGAGTCACCCCAACATGCTCATCACGCAAACTACAGTACCCACACTAATTATTCGACAGAAAACGCAAAAACTGACGACCCGCGTTTTTTTCGTTTTTTCTTCATAACTTCCTTCAGATTGCATAAAATACGAATCTGAAGGAAGCATGATGTTCAGCTCATCAAGGTGAATCTTTCGATATACTACACTCTCTCACTATTCCGTTTTCAGCCTGCTCGATTTTTGCGTGAGGACGGGTTTTCGTAGTAGTGTAACTCAGAGAAGAACACACTTTGTAGACTCTATTATACATGGTTCGGTAGAGCTTTTCCCGTAGATTATCATGCAATAGCGATTGGTGGAGGACCCCTTTTCCATAGATGAAGATAGGCCGGGAATTTCGAAAAAAACCTATGCCTCTCAGATTTTGGCTACCGTAACCGTACAGTAAGATGTTAATTTGCAAAGCAGGTGTGTTTTTCGTAGTCAGCAGGCTAGATAACCCCTATGCGCAAGTTCTCCGAGGAATTCGGGCTCTTTGATTTTTTCTCGGTGCAGGCGCTGAACATCGCCGACGGGTTTTGGCTGAAATATTGATGATCTTGGATTGGCCGGAAACTTCGCCCATGGACGTTTTCAGACTTGCTGATTACGAAAATAGTGCTCTTTTTGCGGTGTAAGTTCTTTTGGCAGGGTTATGCTGAGAATGCTGCGATACTATGCGAGTTCGTGAATTTGTCTGCCCCTTTCGCGTATCTGTTGGACAACTTACCTGCTCTTCTTTGCGATTTGAAATCACTAGAGACAGTACTTTCAAAGCGTGCTCGAACTAGGCCCGTATCTGCATTGATCGCCGAACTGTGAGTTTACTAACTCACGTCCTCATGAAAATCGTTCAAAATTTTAAGATCGCATATTTTGGCCAAATATTGCTGGGAATGATTACAGATGACTCTGATTGGAGATATTATGTTTATATACGTTAATTGATAATTCTAATTCAACAGACTTGCTTACTCCCTGTGCCATCACATATGTAGCTCAAGGTTCCCAAAAAATCGATAGAGTCGGTAAAGGTAATTGTTTTTGAAAACTAATATCTATCCGTAATCAACACCCTCACTCACCTATTTATACCAATTCTTGGCTCGGTAGCTCAAAGTTGGCAAAAAATCGATGATCGATATCGATCGATGACGAAATGTAGTCTACGAGACCAGCTCAGCCCCTAAGTTGTGTGCAGAGTATGGTCTGCTTTGGTTCAGAGATGCAATTCTTTTGGGAGCATACGCACAGACACACAGACACATGACAAACAGACATTCACTTGAGTTTAGTATGTTAGAGATAATAGTGACAATAACAGTTGGAACTCTAAAGTCTGTCAAACTCATCATAAAAATCGTAGGCGTCTCCTTGCAACCGTTTATCTCCAATCGCCCACGCTTTTATTCCCACTAGGTAGAGATAAAAGCGTGGACCATTCACTATTTGCAGTTCTAAGGCTGGTCATTGGTCATATTTTACTTTTGTTCATCTTGTCTACGAAGTTTTTTCTTTCTTCAGCGTTAACAGGAGTTCAGAGTCGTTCACAGAATACAGTCTGTCCCAACAGGGGTTAGGTTGAACCATTAGGGCAAGTTTGTGAGCTCGCAGCGGTATGGTTCTGCGTTGCGTATGCGCACTGTCGAAGGGCGAAGAAAATGAAGATGTTAGACAAGCTAGCATAGAGTGGCGCAAAACCCGCACGACTTTGTAGATGAACAAAAGTAAAATAGCAAGAATGACCAGCCTTAGAACTGCAAATAGTGAATGGTTCACGCTTTTATCTCTACCTAGTGGAAATAAAAGCGTGAGCGATTGGAGATGAACGGTTGCAAGGAGACGCCTATGATTTTTATGATGAGTTTGACAGACTTTAGAGTTCCAACTGTTATTGTCACTATTATCTCTAACATACTAAACTCAAGTGAATGTCTGTTTGTCATGTGTCTGTGTGTCTGTGCGTATGCTCCCAAAAGAATTGCATCTCTGAACCAAAGCAGACCATACTCTGCACACAACTTAGGGGCTGAGCTGGTCTCGTAGACTACATTTCGTCATCGATCGATATCGATCATCGATTTTTTGCCAACTTTGAGCTACCGAGCCAAGAATTGGTATAAATAGGTGAGAGTACTCTGCGTTGATACCACTGCTT